GTATGATATTAATATTAATGTTATACGATATTAATGTTAACTTTGATTTTGCTACTGAATTAGTAACATTGCAGAATGTATTATGAAAATTGCTCACACAATGATTATACTACTTAGATCACTATTGTTCACTAGAACAATAACGATTATGGCAGACTAATGTTATGTTTGAGATTCGACTGAACTGAATCAGCTCGTCGTATTCGAAAAATGAAAACTTTTCCATATTTATTTCGTTTCTATATTCACGTTTAATTACGTCAACGTTATAATTACGATACATCCATAGTATACAACACATCAACATGCCATTATACGAGCTCAAACGAACACTGTAATATAAATTTCCGTATTGTATTTAATTATTTCCAGAATATATAAATTATTTCAAGCACTAAATTCATAGAACATATATATCAAACACCATAAATCTGAAATGCACAGCAAGATTCATGAATGCATTCAAACGCTTCATGTGAAATGCATTTGCTTTCACGGATCGATGATCAATCGAAAAATGACATCGAAATCTACCAGAATGTCATTGAAATTTCATCAAAACATGAATGAATTCAACAAAATTCACAAATTATGATCACGATCGGCACACAACTGCACGATATGAAAAACACTCGATACATCACGAGTATTGACTGCTTATCACATCGAGCTAAACATATTCGCACGAAAAGTAAAGCAATGATAAGAAATGATACGATAAATGCAATCGATACGCTGCTATCACCGTCACCATCACTATTAGTACTCAATTATTTATCAGTACGCTTAGCAGAAGCGATAAATTACTTCCAAAACGATCACTTCAATAGTACTTGTTGAGATGATAACAATAACCATATCAATATGATAGTAATGGTAATTATCATAGCAAAAATAATAACAATAACAATAATTAAAAAAATAATAATAATACTAATAATAATAGTATCAGTATGGTCGCGTGAATATAGTAACAGACGTGGAACCGACTGAAAAATATTTACAAATACAATCTGATCATTACTAGTATAATATCGATCATAATCATATAAATTCACACGGAATAATTAACACTATGAGCATGTTTGAGGCACGCATATCACAGTCTTCCATTTACTACTCAGTTACGACAGTCATTCCTTCATTATTTCGAATTACTCACTAATCGCAAGCAGAACAATCAGCATTTCTACACAAAATTCCTAGTTTCGACAAACAATTTATTAAGCAACCACAGATTCTTGAAAAAAATTTACTCTACTCATCAAATTCGACAATCTACATTCAGCAACACTGAACAAGGAGAATAAATTTGACACGAGCAAGTTTTGAACTATCCAATGCAAAAAAACGAAAGAAATTTTTTAAATTTTCGATGAATTCACAAATAAATTAATGATTAATCTATAAACAAGTAATTCATTTCATTGATTTCATACTCGAATAAATGAACAAACACAACAAACTGAACAAACGAACAAATTAATGCCACCATCGAAAAACAATAATGATCAATGATTAACAATGAGAAAAGCAACTGAATTTCACGTAACAACTCAAAACTGAATTCCACATTTGCAGACGCAAATCAAAACCGATAAAATTTGTAAAATTTCTTTTATAAATACACGAAATCAAATTAAATATGAAAAACGATTTAAAACAAATCATAAACTCGATACAACAACCTACTCAATACAAAGATTTATGACCAAAACTGTGATACGGGATAGCATAACTGCAGGATAAGTACTCTTTTCACTAAACCTATTCATATGATTACGGATGAGCAGCCGTCGTGAAAAACACCCATGTCTTCGGTCTTTTAAAAGAGAAATGTCAAGGAATTATCCAGTCATCATTTTTGATGAAATCCATTAATATTCATCTGTCAGCAAATTTACAAATTTACCATCATGCTTTTTATAAATCTCGAAAAAATGGACCGTTCACACCATCTGGATGCTAAGAAATCTTCAGAATACCCCTTATTCCTTTTGTATCTCTCCAGATTCTCCCCACTTCACCATCTTTCGTCGTATGCCACACCTTCCATTGTTCATTTTTCAAA